TTCTTCTCACAAAAACTATGGACACTATGACCCACCAAATGAAACTACATACCTAGTACATACCTCTCCCACAATGGTTCCCTGATTCTGTCCGGGTAAGCTTCTCATCCTTACTACTCAATACGCTGTAAACAGCCTGAGCTGCCGAGACGGGTTTCCCACCACGATTACATGTTTCTAACAACGAARCACTAAGAGTGACAGTGCCCTAAATACGACCGAAAAACAGCAGCACAGAGATTATGCTAACCTAGAAAATAACCCAAAAAACGAGGTCAATATTACCAAAGAATAGACTATTACCAAAAAATAGACTAAATTCCTACGCCCACAATACTACAGCCTGTTATTGTATCTGAGCTCTTTACATTACATCACAAAATACGGCCAGAAACACAGCAGCACAGAGGTTATTCTTGCCTAGAAAACAGCAAAAACGAGGTCAACATTTTCCACAAAAATCCCTAGTAATTATAGCCAAAAATATAGATAACCCCCAACTTTGTAGACCTCCACCCAATAACAACTAGTCCCTCGTCAGTATCAAGGCTGCCTTCTCATCATCACTGTCCAAAGCGCTGTAAAGAGCCTTTGTTGCCTAGACGGGTTTCCCACCACGCACCCAATGGATACAACTCTAGTTTGTTCTTTACGAGGTCTCTCTTACCTCCACGCCAGTAGAGTTCCCACTGCCTCTCGTCGCACTCTCACTGTTTCTCGAGGCACTGCTACTGGTAGTCCCGTGAGTTTCGCCCTAAACCATTTCCATTCCATGACCCTGCTGTCTTGGTTGCACCTTCTGTGCTACCTCAAAGAGAACCCCATTTCGATAGAGTAACCTTAAGTCTATGAATCTAACCAACGAGTACAGCTCAATACAACACCTAAAAAAAAAAGAAAAAAAAAAAGAAGCGCGCGGGAGCAGCGGAGGTCGGCAGGCGCCCGGTAGCGCTTTGGTGCGCTAAGTTTGCGCTAATTCGAGATCGAATGTAGCACAGCCCTAGCGCCCCGGGGTCCAGCCGACGCTTGACGATAAGGTGGGTTCATGGAGTCCTGTGGCCACGAATTGTGGAAAGATGAACGCCCCGATTGGAGGGAGGTATGGCGGCGCCATATCCTCCGTTGTCCATACCCTAACCTGCTCCTTGATTGGAGGGGGAGTGCGTTGCACTCAGGGTATGGGCCCCACTCGGTCTCCTCTGGCTTCCACCTTCCACTTTACTCAAGTAATGGAACTTTTACCGCAGAAAATGACGAAGAATTGGCATGTAGTCTGGTTGACGAAGACCAAGTTTGGAAGAAGATCTTTGCTCGTTCCTACAGTGGCAGGCGCGAGTCTCCGACGCGGCCGATGTGAAGGATGGCAGTAGCGTCTATGCTAGCGGTGGCAGAGCCAGTATGGGCGGTGGGAGTGCTGTCCCCAACACTGGATGGATTCTCTGCTTTCTTTTTGACTTTTGACAGCAGATTCAGTGAGAGGATTTTCTCCTTTCCTTTTTTTTTCTTTTTTTTCTGAACTTCACTCCCAGAATCGTCCGGGGGCCAAGTCCCACTACCAGCAGCGATGAGTGTTCTCAATGCGTGAATGTGGTCGTGTTTGTGGAGATGTGCAGAAATCGCATTGTGTTCCGTCAACTGTACATTTCCACAAACGCGTCCACATTCAGGAGTTGAGGATACTCAATGCTGCTAGTGGGACTTGGCCCCGGGGGTGCAGGTCCCACTAGCAGCGTTGAGTTTCCTGAACGCCTGAATCTCGTGGAGATGTGCGGTTGAGAAAACTCTAGGCGATTTCTACACATATCCACAATCACGTCCAGATTCAGGCATTGAGGAAACAAAACGCTGCTAGTGGGACTCGGCCCCTGGTAAATGTCCTTCGGGGAACGATACAGAAAAAGAGAAGACTACAGTAGCATGGCAAAAAAAAAAAAACAAAAGATTAGCATGGCCCCTGCGCAAGGATGACACGCATGAATGGAGAATCGTCCGGTAAACGGGACCCCCTTCGCCCGGGGCAAAGATCAACGGCCGAAATCTCACTTGGTGGCATGGTCCCACTTGGGACTTTGGTCGTGGTGACCAAGTCCCATCCACTTGGGACCTTGGTCGTGGCAATCTTCACGGTCACCGCCAAAAAAAAGAGAAGCAGAAAGCAGATCCTATCTTTGGGACGTTCCTTATGATGGGATGTGATTTCAGTGATTCGCTCGCTGAATGAGCGGCCGACCGACCGCGCAATCGACAACTGGCAAAGACGGAGGGATCAAGCTATGGGAGCAACTGGCACGACCGACCGATGGACCCACCGACCGACCGACCGACTGACCGACCGACCGACCGACAGATCCAACGGCCGATCAAGGTAAGGCGGTCGGTCGGTCGGTCGGTCGGTCGGTCGGTCGCAATATGTGCTCCTTGGCGGTTAGGCGGTCGCAATATGTGATCCTTGGCGCGGTTTTGGGCCTCGGTCCACTACTCACCAAATGTGCAAAATGAGAATGAATCTTTGGGTAGAATATGGGAAGATACACGGCCGCAATATGTGCTCCTTGGCGCGGTTTTGGGCCTGGGTCCACCTTTCACCAAATGTGCAAAATGAGAACGAATCTTTGGGTAGAATATGGGAAGATACACGGCCATATTTTTTGTGTTTTGTGCATGTGGAGAGTAGAGGAGCGAGGCCCCTTTTTGAGTTTTTCGAGGGCTGCGTTCCACAGCGCAAAACGACTCGACCGATCCAAAAAAAAAGAAAAAAAAAGAAAAAAAACTCAACCCCTTGATTGTGAGAGGTATCTCTGCTTGTAGGGGTGGTAGGTAGGTGGTGAGAGGTGAAATTGAGAAAAGAAGAAATAAGGCGCCCCTGCCCCCGCCCCCGCACTCACCCTCACCCTCACCCTCACCCTCTCCCTCTCCCTCTCCCCCGCCCAAAAGAAAGGCCCATCCACGAAGATTTCGAATGCATCTGGACAATGGTGTCCACATGCAATCAAAATGTTGGCTGATGGCGAGTGGTGCCACAAGGCCCAAAAGAAAAGGAAGAGAAGCCTTGCACAAACAGGCGTAATATTTGTTCCTTTGGCCGAGATCCCACTGACAAAGAGGATTGTAGTAAGTGTCTGAATATGGACGTGTTCGCGGACAGATGTGAAAAATTGTGATTGACCTACTTTTCCGCACCTCTGCGTAGACACTTCTTCCAATCCTCTTTGCCAGTGGTATCTGGCCCTTTGGCGCTCTGACAGACAGACAGGACTGTCTGACGGCACAACGCAGAGCGGCAGCGGAACATAAAAGACGGAAAAAACACTTCGAAAAAAGGAAGGGAAAAAAAAAAAAAAGGAAGAAAGCAGCACAACCGTATTCTAGAGCGACAGAAAAAATAATAATATAATAAAATAAAAATAAAAATAAAAAATTGTAGAGCGAGCGTAACGAGCGCGAGCAACGTCTTCTAGGGCGTTCACAGCGGAAGATAGTAACGATCGTATCGCGAAGCGCGGCGGCAATCGAGACATGCGTTGTTTGCCTTGTGCTTTCTTTTTTTTTTTTTTTTTTTTTTTTTCTTTTTTTTTTTTTTTTTTTTCTTGGACGTGGCCGAGGCATCGCAGCCGTGGCCCAGCCACGCGACAGGATGCTCTCTCTTTCTTTCTTTTTTTTTTTTTTTTTTTTGCCTTGTGCTTTCTTGCGTTTTCTCGACGTAGGGCCTCGCTGCACTACTCTCGACATGCAGAAAAGACAAAAAAAATGGGAGTGTATCGTTCCATGTTCTTGCCGTGGATTCAGTCTAATTTCACACATTTCGAGAGTAGTGCAGCGAGGCCTGTAGTTAGGTGATTACGTACGTTTCAGTGGACTACCGGTAGGACGATACTAATCGATTACGCTGTATTCCGTATATATACATATATATATACTATTTGACGATATATATACATATATGTATATAGATATATATTTTATATATTATATAATATATATCTATATATCGTAAAATATATATCACAGCCCTCGTTTGTTGTCTTCTTCTCCCTCTCTGCCTACGGTTTACCGGGCAGCTCTGTTTGACGATATAAGAGAATATACAATATACATAGCATATATATACATATAAATTCTGCGGGAGAGCAGATATGCAGAGAGTGACAGTTAATGATTCCTTCCTTGGCATGTCTGTGGTTCGGTCTCGATCGATTGACCACTGATGTGTGTGAGTGTGATGTGAAGTCTGAAGGTTATGCAACGCAATGTCCTATGGGAGGGATGGAGGGGAGGGGAGGGGAGGAGGACGATTGCACATTTGCTGGCCACAGTTCTACTGGTGGCGCGCGTTTTAATTAATTAATTTTTAGTGATACATGTGGTCTGATCGGACGCGGCGAGAAAAGCTGTAAGTCACGCACGCGTCCTTAGGATTAAAGAAGGGCGGGGGGGGAGAGGAGTGGGAGGTGGAGGCGGAAGGGAGTGTGGGAGCGGTGTGCTCCGCGTCAGTGGTAGAGAATGGGAGGGAGGTGCCAGGTGAGTGTTTGACTGCAGGGCACGCGAAGGGAGTTTTACGAAGGTTTGAATGTGTTGGGATGTGTTGGGAGCGCGGCGGGCGAAGCGAAGCGAAGGGAAAGCGAACGTGATTGCTGATCGCGGCTTCGTCAGGGTGGGTGGGAGAGAAGGCATGCGTATGTAATAACTCGTAAGAGAGTAGTGCAGCTCTCTTCGGGCAATAGCAAAATCCGCCGCTGGTGTGTGCTAACTGTTGTATGTCAACATTCAATGAAATTGCTGTCTAAAGAGATTACTCTGCTTACGTGTCATCCACGTGTCGTCCGTCTGCGCCCTGCCGATCACGCTTGCGGCATTTGTGAGCAAGGCGCAGCAGGAAATTGAACACACTCGTCCGCATAGAGAGAGAGAGAGAGAGAGAGAGAGAGAGAGAGAGAGAGAGAGAGAGAGAGAGAGAGAGGAATCGTGTTCCCCTTGTCACACCTTGCGGCATTTGTGAGCAAGGCGCAGCAGGAAATTGAACACACTCAACGGACACACACACACACACACACACACACACACACACACACACACACCACACACACACACACAGAGAGAGAGAGAGAGAGAGAGAGAGAGAGAGAGAGAGAGAGAGAATGGAGCGAATAGGGAATGCGTGCGGGCAGTCGGGGTATTTAGAAGTGGGTAGGGGAGGGAAAGGTGTGGAGGGAGGAGGAGGTTGGCGGGTGCCATACAGTGAGGTGGTGATGGAGAATGGCAGGCGGTCTAGGGTGTATGTGAAGACCCCCGGCCGAACTCGCATATCAAGCATAATGTCCCCGATGATGATGAACAGCAACATCGACCCGCCATCGCCCCTGTTTCTCTCTGGAGGGAGGAAGGTTCTCAGTCGATCGTCCATAACCTACTCGCGCACGTCGAGAGCTCGAATCCGATCTGGGTATCGTGATTACTCTAACGATCGCGATGCTTTGTCTGATTTGGATGGCCCTATGGATGATGACTCGGACAGCGATGAAGAGTGGGCTTTAATGCAATCATCGGACTCAGATTCCTCATTGGCCAGTCCTTCAGCGACGTCTCCTTCCTCTACCTGCTCTGATTCCTCTTCTTACTCCGACAAATCCTACTCCTCATCGTCCTCCTCCTCTTCCTCTTCTGTCATCCTTCAGCCTGATCTCGTCTCCACGGTCGTACGTGCCGTTGGTCCTGTGTTTAGGCTTTTCTTGAGCCCCGCATTTTTTACGAAGAGGATGAAGAGTCAGTGTAGGAAAAAGAACAGCGGCGGCGGGGGTAGTGGGAACGGGAATAATGACAATGAAAGCGCGAAGAAGGAAAAGAAGAGAGTGAAGGGAGGAGGAGGAGGAGCGGGAGCGGGAGGAGTAGATGGATGTAGAACGAGACCAGGGGCAGGTGTATCTGTCAAACGGTTCTCGTCGTCATTCTTATCGTTTTAGGAGGGAAAACATGTAGGAAAGATAAAGACATGATGTGCGTTCTTGCACTACATATATATGCGCATATGTCAATTTCGCTCTCCTCGGCCATAATCGCCTCCTTAGGTCGTCTGTCTCACTTCGCCGTAAGGTAAGGAGCTGGTAGGTATCTTCCTCTTTTGTTGAATGATAAATCTGAGCGGCTAAGTCCCTAGTAATTAACACAATCGAGTCCAATCAGTCCAATCAGTCCAATCAATCCAATCAATTAATCAATTAATCAATCGATCGATCGATCGATCGATCGAGTGTCGTCAACTCCAATCAATCAATCAATCAATCAATCAATCAATCAACCAATCAATCAATCACACTGACTCGTTGGGTCATGTAGTAACCACTTTCTCGATCACTCACTCGTTTGTCATATGTTTGATTTTTTTTCATAATCCCGTGTTTCCTGCTTTATTAGCCTTTTCCGTCCAGATATATCTATATCGTCAAACAGTCGTGATAAAGATGCTACGGTTGATCTTTTTTTTCTTTATTTTTTGCGCTTTTCGCTGCTGATCTTACTGTCAATCATACCATGTGCATGCGTGTGCAACGGGCGTTCGAGTTCGTGCATCTATGAAGAGTTCGAGCTTCTCCACACTGCTGTGTGTGTGTGTGTGTGTGTTCGGTCGTCTACGCAAATTGTTTAGCACCCGCTGTCTCTTTCCCTTTCATTTTTCTTTTTTTCTTTTGATCGTTTCTGTCTTTCTCCTCTCGTCTTGACTATCGCATGAGGTCAGTATATTTCCTCTCGCTGTCATTTCTTACCGTTTGGGAGTTTTGAGTATGAAGAGTGGGAGTAGTGAAGCGTGTGTGCAAACGCAGTGCCGCCTGCCTCAGAGGAGAGATGGATGCGACCGCCGGTGGGTGTATCGCGATCGCCTTACTCGAATAGTAATTGGTCGCCTCTCTCACTCTTCTCTCTTTAGGAGGGAGGAGGAAGAGGGAAGGAAGAGAGAGGTGGGGAAGAGTTGCAGTCTGAGAGGGAAGATCAACGGTGGAGGCATGAGGAAGAGGACTAAGAGGTTTCCTTTTCTCTACGGTTTCTCTCTTTCTCTCTCTTTACGCAGGCAGGAGATGCCTCTGTCTCTGCCCCTGTTTCTCTCTCTCACTTTATGGAAGAGATGCCTCTCTCTCTCTCTCTCTTTGTGCGAAGGAGATGCCTAAATGCACCCGCGGGTGGACAGGGATCGTGCCTTACTCGATTCGTATACTGCTGTGCACTTCACTAAGGTGAAAGACGTGAAATGCAGAGAGCGCAACAGACAGATCAATGGACAGATAAACGGACAGATAAATGGACAGATAAACGGACAGATAAATGGACAGATAAACGGACAGATCTGTCGGGCATTGGTTGCACTTCACTACGGTGAAAGATCGTGAAAAGCATCGTTTTGAATAACGGGCGGGGAAGGTGGGAGGCGAGGGGAGGGGGAACCAACGGGGGAGGGGGAACGAACGGGGGCGTTTACGGAAAGGATTAAGTAAAGGGAGGGGTGTTTCGTAATTCGAGGTTCTCTCTTGTAACGGCAACGCCTGGCAGGAGCAGCGGGGAGCAGCAGCAGACAAAAGTGAGGTACGACATGGTTGATGAGATATGTCGTCGAGATTGCAAGCGATAACATAAAGATCTCTGAAGCTTTATATCTATATCTTTGCATTTGCTGTCGAAATAGCGCGATTGATTTGTGTTCTGCTTACCGACTTCCGATTGATTGATCGATTGATCGATGAATTGATTGATTGATCGATTGATCGATTTATTGATTGATTGATTAATTGATTGATTGATTGATTAATTGATTGATTGATCGATTAATTGATTGATTGACGAGGTGTAGCGACACGTGGAAGGTGGCAGGCGAAAGGGGATGTGGAAGGAAGAGGAAAGATATGCGACACGTGGAAGGTGGCAGGCGAAAGGGGATGCGGAAGGAAGAGGAAAGATATGATGGGAGATAATGTTTTTGCGGCGGCGGAGTATAGTTCATTAATTGATTGATTGGTTGGTTGATTGGTTGGTTGATTGGTCGGTTGATGACGTATGGTGCGATGTTTGATGATGTTAGTCGATGATGTGCAAGAGAGAAAACGTAAGGGCGTTATTAGGCGGTTGTGCCGATCATAGAGGGAGGGAGCGGCCGGAAGTCGGGATCGACACGTGGAAGTGATGGATTGGTTGATTGATGACGTATGTTGAGGTGTATGATGATGATGTTAGATGATGACGTGCAAGAGGAAACGTGTGTGATTACGTGGTGGGGGCGATCATAGAGGGAGGGAGCTGACAGAAGTCGGGAGTGACACGTGGAAGTGATTGATTGGTTGATTGGTTGATTGGTTGATTGGTTGATTGGTTTAGTGGTTGATTGATGACGTACGGTGCGATGTATGATGATGCTAGGCGATGGTGAGCAATTGAGGAGACGGAAGTGCGTAAGGCGATCATAGAGGGAGAGGGAGCAGACAGAAGGAAGTCGGGAGCGCCCACGTGGAAGGTGTTGCTGCTGCAGGAGCAGCAGCAGCGCACAGCTATACATCCAGGAAATCTACGGTCGTCAGGAACGACGAGTGGAAAGATCGTAGATGGAAAAGGAACAGGACGTCAGAAGCGACTACGTTAGGAGCGACACCTGGAAGCAAGCCGGGCGCCGACCGTTTTGGCATCGACACGTGGAAGCAGGATGTACGCAGCAGCGACACGTGGAAACAACCCCCTCCCTGACGTGAAAAGCACTGCGGACGTGTTCGCAACAAGATGTGGAAACAAGTGGGGCGACGTCGGGAGCGACACGTGGAAACAAGCGGGACGATGTTGGGAGAGCGACACGTGGAAAGAAGCGGGACGATGTTGGGAGAGCGACACGTGGAAACCAGCGGGACGATGTTGGGAGAGCGACACGTGGAAACAAGCGGGACGATGTTGGGAGAGCGACACGTGGAAACAAGTGGGGGGACCACGTCGGGAGCGACACGTTGAAACAAGCGGGACGGTGTTGGGAGAGCGACACGTGGAAACAAGGGGGATGATGTTGGGAGAGCGACAAGTGGCCACAAGCGGAGGATGACGTCGGGAGCGACACGTGGAAGCTGTTGCTGTAGTGGCAACGACAGCAGTGAATTAGAAAAGGTTACTGTCGTCAGGAACGACGCTCGGAAGCCGTGTTGTTGGAGTCGCAGCAATGGTTTCCTTGATTGCGGGAAATGTGATGATGCTCAATCTGGTCTGGGTATGGTGAGCACTCTCCACTCTCTCTACTCATCGCAGCCATTTGTTAATTAATGGGGAGTCGTCCCGGCGAAGAAAAGCCATGGACGGCGAAGAAAAGCCATGGAAGGTTTCCTGCTTTCTTGACCACGGGAGAGAGAAGCCACGCGAACGACGGAAGGGAACATATACCGTATTGCAGAACACACTCCACTGACTAATCAGTCAGAGAAAAAGCGCTTGACCGACCGAACGAACTCCCGAGAAGATGACGCGATGTTTCGGTGAAAGTGCAAAGAAGTTTCACCGACAAGATGTGGAAGTGCAGAGAGCTTTCTCACTGGTGCAAGAGGACGGCATTTCGTCGAAAGCCGAAGGAGGTTGTTGCGCCGAGTTGATGATCACAGTGCGCACGTCGAAGGGGAAGCAAATGCGGAAGGATAGGCGGCGGCCGGTTTCCTGCTTTCTTGAACAGGAGGGGGGGGTCAGTAAGGAGGTGGTAAGGAGAGCGGACCTTCCCGTTGAGACGGGGAGGGGGGGGG